GTGATTTGGGATTTGCTTTAGGTATAGCAAATAAATTGGCAGTTCTGGTGTAGTAACAAAAATAAATCCAACATTCCTTTTAAAATACAGCTGGTGGTTACATGTGTTTAATATTGTACTCAAGTTGGCACTCAACTTATTTTTTTCTAAAGAGCATTGATCTAAGCCTCTTCATGTGACACCCCCCCCCCTTTTGGTGTCCTCAACTACGTTCCTGTTGCTCTTCAGTGTTTTTCGAGGTTGTGAATGTTTAGCTCTATATTCAGCTGCCTCTGGAGGAAACTGCCACTTGCCATTCCTGGTTTGTTCCTTGGTGTGCTCTACAAGTCTTGTTTTCCCTAATTTATTAATTCCCACCATAAGGCCCTGGGGAGACCTTAGAGCACCTTCCAGCACCTGAAGGGGCTCCAAGGGAGCTGGAGGGGGACTTTGGGCAAGGGCATTGAGTGCCAGGACAAGGGGAAACAGGCTCCCATTGCCAGAGGGGGGGTTAGACTGGATAGTGGGGAGAAATTCTTGGCCGGGAGGGGGGTGAGGCCCTGGCACAGGTTACCCAGAGAAGCTGTGGCTGCCCCATTCCTTGGAAATATTCCAGGACATGTTGGATGGGTCTTGGAGCAACCTGGACTGGTGGAAGGTGTCTGGGTGGGAAAGAGATGACCCTTAAGGTCCCCTTCCAACCCCACCCATTCTAGGGCTTGACCACAAGTGCCAACGCATGACGGGCTTCGGGAGGAACGCGGGTGAGGGCGGCACCGCCTTCCTAGGAACCCTTCCAGGAACCCTTCCTAGGAACCCTTCCCAGGAACCCTTCCCGAGAACCCTCCCAGCCTGTGTGCGCAGTGACTGCGCAGGTACCTCCCGTTCCCGGGCCCTGGGGACGGCTCCTCCCGGCCCTTGGCATCGCTCCTCCCGGCCCTGGGATCGCTCCTCCCGGCCCTGAGATCGCTCCTCCCGGCCCTGAGATCGCTCCTCCCGGCCCTGGGATCGCTCCTCCCGGCCCTGGGATCGCTCCTCCCGGCCCTGGGATCGCTCCTCCCGCCCTTGGCATCGCTCCTCCCGGCCCTGGGATCGCTCCTCCCGGCCCTGGCACCGCTCCTCCCGCCCTTGGTGCCCCGTCAGGGGGACTCTGCTCTCCGCCCCGCCCCGGGGCGGCACCGCCGGGCCGGGAGCGCCGCAGCCGCCGCCGCGCTCAGAGCGGCAGGGACGGGCAAGGTGAGGGCAGCGCTGCGGGGACAGGAGCAGGGCCGGGGGGGGACAGGGGGAGGCGGGGAGGAGAGGGAAGGCTTCTCCCGGGAGCTGCGGAGCTCTGGCTGGGCAGGGTGTGTGTTTGCGGGGCTGGGAGCGGGCTGGGCTGGCCGTGCCCGGGGCTGTCCTGACTCACCGCACTGCGCTAACGCGGGCCGGCTGCGGGGCCGGGGCAATGCGGGCACCCCCGGGCGGCACCCCCGGGGAGACGGGCAAGGGAGCCGGGGGGCACCTGAGGGGTCTGGGCACGGGAACGGGAGAGCTGGGCACGGGAATGGGTGAGCTGGGAACAGGAGAGCTGGGCAACTGCGCGGCGCGCTGCTCCCCGCGGGCAGGGGCTCATGGGGCTGTTCCTGCTTCCTGCAGAGATGGGGTTTGTGCTGCTGCTTCCTCGTCCCCACAGAGATAGGGTTTGTGGTCCTGTTCTCCGGTCCCTGCAGGAATGGGGCTTGTGGTGCTGTTTCCCCCATTCTCTGGCCCTCGCAGGGATGGGGCTCCTGGTCCTGTTCCTCCCTTCCCTGGTCCCCTGCAGGGATGGGGCTCCTGGTCCTGTTCCTCCCTTCCCTGGTCCCCTGCAGGGATGGGGCTCCTGGTCCTGTTCCTCCCTTCCCTGGTCCCCGCAAGGATGGGGCTTGTGGTCCTTGTCCCCTGGGCGTCCTGCAGGGATGAGGTTTGTGGTCCCGATCCCTGGTCCCTGCGGGAATGGGGCTCGTGGTGCCGTTCCCCTTTCCTTGCCCCTTTCTGTCATAAATTGTGATTTATGACGGCAGTAGCAGCAGGTTTGTCCGCCTGCCCTCTCCCTGGTGGGACTGCAGAGAAATTCTGTTTCACAGCGAGGCACTGAGCCTTTCGTTGCAGTTGTTGTTTCTTGTCATTGAGGTGGGTCGGATGCTTGGGTTAAAACAGCGATTTGGAAAATTCAGTCTAGGAAATGTTTTTGGCTTTATTTCTTTTAAGCCATGATGTGAATTGCTGTCTCTGGGGTTTTTTTGTGGTTTGTTTTTTTTTTTTTTTTTTTTTTTAAGCTAACATTTTCCTGTTGTCCTCTCACTCTGTCATTCTGGAGTACAGAAACAATTACTCATTTCCCAGAAACAGACTGGTTGAATTACTACTGGCCCTGATGATTTTTATTCATTTGCCTGATATTTATTCCAGTCATGACTTGGTTTTGCTAAAAGGCGAGAC